GATTAGGAAAAAAATACGTATTTCTTCAGATTGAAAACTGGATGTAAAAATGTGCTGAATTTGTCAGTACATTTTATACCTAAAATCTCAAAGCTATTATGGGAAAAAGTTCCTGTAGAAAAATAAAAAGTACAAACTCTAATTTCAAGTCCTTTCATTCTCACTAAAATATTGATAAATGATATTTTGATAATTTAATATTAATTAGGGCTATAACTACTCCATCATAGTACAACTCTGGGTTTTTTAAAAGATTTTCATTTAAAAAGTCTGTCTTCCTCTTGTTTTTTCTATGATGAACAGTAAGTTCATGTTAGTAAGACCCTGCTTGCTTTCTCCATAGATGAATATTCAGAATACAGCAGGGGACATGTCACATAGGTGCTTCTATCAATAAATGATGTGTGGATGAAGTAGGGAAAAAAACCTCATTAACTTTAAAGTGCTTAAATGGTCTAATACTACCAAAACTATAAACCGAGGAACTGAAGTCTGAGTAAATATTTTAAGTACCCTTAAAGGAATTTGTTATCCCATGTATGTATGATATATCAAAGTATATAAGTGCATTCTACTGTCATGTATAACTAATTAAAACAAATAAAAATAAAAAAATAAAATGTTTCTGAAATAAAAAAAAAAAAGAATTTGTTAGCTATCCTGGTAGGATGCACCAATGTGACTGGTGTTAGTCCTGTGTAGTTGCAAATATTCTTGGTTTTCTTTCCTTTTATGGTGATTTTGGGTGACCCCCTACAGCTGTATAATAGTGCCCTTGAAACTGCAATTTTAAAAGCTTCCATCTCCTGAAGCCAAAGATGTACCCCAATGAATCCTATTTTCCATCAGATAAAATTAACTACATCCTCTTCAAAATATCTCAGAGCTTGCTGCCGAAGAGCGACTATGAGTGCAATTCAAGGAGGTCAGAGATCTTCAAGGTGAAGCTACAGGTAGTAAGCTGGTTGTGCAGATGGGAGACAGGGAAATATACTGACACACCTCAGACCATTACTTCATTCATGTACACTCTTGGCAGGGCAAGACAGTTCCGTTACACAATAGAAATACTATAGTATCCTGCCTTATGTAAGACTAAGGGTTGTGATTATCTGAGACAGCCAAATTTCTAAGAAGAAACAAAGTTCTACTAAAAGATCTTTGACTTCATAGATGGCAAGCATCTTACAGCCAATGTGCCATCACTTCACAGATGTGAAGCTAACATGTTCACTGCAAATCAAAATATGACTTTCTACAAAGCTCGGGCTAGCAGGCAGAAGTTGGGGGTTGCAGGGAAGGATATTAGTACAAAGAAAGTGCTTTCTAAAACACTGGCTCTTTTTTTTTTTTTTTTTTTCAGTGCTAAGGATAGAACCCAGGATCTCATGCAAGGGCTAAGCAAGTGCTCTACCACTGAGCTACGTCACCAGGCCAAAACACTAGCTCTTGACAGTCCCTTAGTGTGTGAACACTGGGTTGCCATTTGTACTGGGGTTAGCCAGACAGCAGTGTGAGAGCGCAGTGCTCAAGACTGCCTTCACTTCTGATACCAACAGCAAGCTTAGAAGGGTTCACAGATCACCCTAAGGTTCAATAATTTGCTAAAATTCATATGTCTCATAGAGAACTATTAACTTACAGTCATGGATTCAGGGGAATAATACAGGAAATTAGCAAAAATTGTCTGGAATATGCAACACTTCCATTGTCCCCAGGACCTTGCACCAGTGTGTGAAAATATGCACGGAGTACTGTCAGCCAGGGTAGCTCACCATATACAGAATTGTACTGGGGCCTCATTATTGACTGATCAATTGCCCGCATGATTCAGTCTTCAGCACTCCCACTCTCCAACACACTGGCTAAGGGGCCCACCAGGAGCAACAACTTCTATCGATAGGGAAATTCCAAAGGTCACCTTGTGGGAGCCTGGTAGAAAACCCAGACTTCTTTTTGGTAAGGCCAAATCCCTACTACACAGTTTAGCCAGATCAAAACAGCATCTTAGAAAGAATATTATCTGGGGCTGTGGATGTAGCTCAATGGTAAGCTTGCCTAGCATTTGTGAGGCTCTGGGTTCGATCCTCAGCACCACATAAAAATAAGATAAAGATATAAAAAATACAATAGCGTTAAAAAAGAATATTATCTTTAAAAGATAAGAAAGAATGATGCTATTGAGGTTTTGTTTAAGATCAAGTCTAATCTATAGGCCCACATTTGTCTTGTAAAAGATAAGCCACCAGAATATATACTTTGGTGTTCCCTGTGACTTCTCATTCTCTAGTAGTCTAGCCCAGGCTGAATGACATGGCAGCTGGTCAGGGCTTCAAGAAAGATTTTTCTCATCTAAAACCAAACTTATCTCTCTCTGTAAAATCCACTTTCCACTAAATTTTCCAACCAGCTAAGCTCTTATTTTTTTTTGTTCTTTCGCCTCTTCTACGCAGACACTATGGATTGAATTGCGTCTTTCCTTCCAGTTCATATGCTTATGCCTGGTACCTCAAAATGTGACTATTTGAAGAGTCTTTAAAGAATTAATGTAAGTTAAAATGAGCTCATAAGGGTGGACTGTAGTCCACTATTATCCTTCTGAAAAAAATAAAAAGAACAGAACATAGACATTCATAGGAAGCCACACAGGGAAAAGAGAGCCATCGACAAGCTCTGCAGAGAGGACTCAGAAAAAATCCAACCTTGCCAACACTTAGATCTCAGACCTCTAGCCTCCAGACTTGGGAGAAAACAAATGTGTGACTGAAGTTATGCAGTCGTGGTACTCTGCAGCCTGGCAGGCTAATGTACCAGTCAAGCTCTAATTCACATCCGTGGAAGTCAGATTTTTATTGCTGTGACCAAAATGCCTGACATGAAACCACCTGAAAGGAGGAAGGATTTATTTTGGCTCATGGTCTCTGAGGTTTCAGTCCATGGTCAGACGACTCCATGGCTTTGGGCCTAAGGTGAGGCAGAACGTCATGGAGGAAGGGCACAGTGGAAGAAAGTTGCTCAGTTCATGGCAGCTGGGAAGCAAGAAAGAGGGGAGCAAGGAAAAAACATCGTCCCCAAGGGCACACCGGCAGGGCCTACTCCTCCAGCCACACTCTACCTCCCTACCTTCTCACCACCTCCTGGTAGTCGCTGTAAATTATGAATCCATCAGATAGATGAATCCACTGATAGGTCAAAGCCCTCGTGATCCAATCATTTTCTAAAAGCCCCGCCTCTGAACATTGGTGCACTTGGACCAAGTCTCAACACACGACCTTTGGGAGACATTTGAGATAGGATGTCCAATCTTTCAATGACTGCTGCTGCTGCACCAGCTCTCTTCTCTTCCACTGGCAGAGCCCTCCCACGTGGCACTCCTGGCTCTCATTTCTCATACCTCCAACCAAACTCACCTCCAGGGTCAGACTACCCTGCCTACAGGAACATAGACATCAGGGCATTCACCAAGCAAACGCTTTCCAGTACTTTCTGCTAAAAGAAGACCAAATTCCTAGCCCAGCAGCTAATGAATGACCCTAGTGACCTCGCCAGCTGTATCTTGACTGATCTCTCAGAGTCACACCATTGATCTTCACTAAAGTTGTCACCTACCACCTATAGAGCGTGATTTTCCTCCTGAATCTCTTTCCCTTCCACCTACTCAATACTTTTTTTCAAGCCTCACCAAATACCATCTTCTTTATGAAGACTTCATGGATCATTTGTAGTTAGAATCGATCTCTGATTTATCTCAAATTTTAGTTATTTTCATAGTTATGATCTTATAATGAAGAAACACACAGGGTGAAAAGTCAAAGGTTCTCATAGCACACAGTTTAAAAGATATTACAAAACTTAAAAATTATAGTGAATATGTTTTATTTCTTTCTTTTGGTAGTAGTGCTGGGGATTAAATCTAGGGCTTCATTCATGCTGGGCAAGTGATCTACCACTCAGCTATACCCCCACTTCTAGAGACCTTTTAATATCAAATCTATACCCAATTCTATATTCAAATTCTTAAGATCTCACATTAACCTTTAAGGGTGGTATTTGTGATGCAATCTTCTCCCTACTACTGCTAAAAGAGATAATTTACTAAGGAAGACTAAAGATTTTTATCTGTTTAAATATACCTCAAAGCACCTTTTAAAAGCAAATCTAGTTTTAATCAACATTAAAGTAACACTAATATCCATTACCACAGAAATTGTACTGTTGCAGAATCTAATAACTCCACCTTAGGGTTTAATCATTTTATCAAATACTTATAAACATGTGCAAGGAAGGAGGTCAGAGCCCAATGTAATCTTTCAACTAAACCTGTCACAACACCTTTTTTGCTTCACTAATTTGCACATGTGCAACTAACAGGTTTATACAATGGAGTCATTTATACACTTAGGATAATCTGAATGATGTCTTCTTACCTACTGTGAGAACTGGCAGTAAAGAGAACATATAAGGCTATGGGTCATGGACACTTTGATCCATCAATTACAGAACATTCATTTAGACATCCCAAGGATTAATAGAGGTAGCAATTTAATATCACCTCATAATCAAGGGCAAGGTAAAATCTATGATTTAAATGCTTTCAAGGTACATGTAAAGAAATAAAAATAGTTTAAATATGAGAAAGGCGTATATCCAAATTTGGACATGCCTATCATTTTACTACACAAAAACGAATGGCTTCCATTAATAGAGGTAGCAATTTAACATCAATTTAAGGCGTTCTACCTTAAATATTATTCCCAATGAAAATTGTATTACCATTGCTTTTGATTTCCCCTTAGTTTACAGAGTGGATGGAGGTGTAACAAGCTTTTATCAAGTGCCCTTCAGTTGTACCTGAATTCAAGAACAGCAGATAACAAGACCCATCTTGCACACCCCCAGACAGTGCTACCTAACAAACTATCTTCTGTTCAAACAGCAATGAAATTATTCTTTCATCCTGTTAAGAATAGTAAATGATCATAGGAGGATTAAAAACTTACTTGAACTTCGCTTCTACCTCTTCAGCAGCCTTCTGATATTGCTCAGTGGTGACTTTGTAGAACTCTGAGCTCTGTGGACAAAGATGGATAATAGAGTGTTCATTACCCAGGAGGACAAAATGTGTGAAAGACTTACAATTTCCCAAAACAAAAACAAATCATAAAACCTTATTTCAGCTGCTGAAGTATGGAAGGATTTCTTGTACTAAGTTGCATGGATACTTTTAGAAATGCATGGAAGGCTATTTGTTTAAATAACATACTGGTTGATACATAGATTTCAATTACAGAACCAAATTTCATAGTTATAATTTGTCATTATTTAATCTCCATAAGAAAATTCCTAGCATATTTTTGAAAGACTACTTAGATCTGTCATATTTGGAATCTACCATGGCAAGATCAAAGGACGTTTGAGATGAAATTTGCCTATTATTCCATTAGAGTTCCAACTAGGATGTTAGAGGATTATTTCTTTTACACAACATTTTGGCCTCAAAGTGAATTCTTTATGAATAAATTTTTTTTTTCAATCACCTCCATATGACCAAAAGAGCATTGACATTCAGAACCATCATTAGGAATGAGAGGGCAGACTTAGGTAACATTAATTTAAAAAATGTTTCCTCTTATATGAACATGTAAGCAACACAAACCAAATTGCAATGGTAAAATAATGCCTTTCCTAGGGCAGCTGACTAGCTACTTTGAAACCAATCTTACCAATCTTAGAGGTGGCCTAAATGACCCCACCAGCCCTCAGACTCAATGAAATATCCTGCCAAATACACGGCAGTGCTAAAGAACACAGTACAATACAGTGGTCTATTGTGTGCCTTCATTCCTTAATCACTCAGGTTTCACGTGCATGGCTTGGGGTAGATTATTTTTTAATAAATCATTGTTGGTTGGTGAGAAAATGAAAATGAAATCCACTTCACACCAGCGACCCCTTTGCATTTAACAATCTGGGTTGTCCAATGACAGTCACATCCAGGTTTCTAGGATGTAGATAAAATCAATAGGTATGTGATTAGACAGCAGATGCAGGGTGGCTGGAGCCATAGACAGGTCACCATTTGAGATGATGAATGGCTTTCTATCAACCTATAGTCCCCTACGATGCTAACATTTACTATAATCTTATTTGGGTTACTATTTATCTTTCTTGCACCTGATCAATAAAGATGAACAGAACAGTTGTAAGGATCGATTGTAATTTTTTATCATTTTCAAGCACAAAGGTGCATTTCTGACATGAAGACAATATTCGAAGTATACTGCTTCTGCATTTTTAAAAATTGCAATTTGAGTGATCAACTGCACCAGTCTATATGCTGAGAGGTTTTAATTCATCTGTTGGTCTAAAGCTATCAAAAAGTCATTTGTCTTCTCAGATATTTTAACTTCAGGTTATGTCACATTTTCCTATCTGTTTCACTTATTAGGTTTTTTTCCTTTAAAATACACACCAGTCATGACATGTTCTTTTGCAATGTTTAAGCTTTCTTTTGAACTTTTTTTTTTTTTTTTAAACAATGAGGGCAGCAAAAAAAGGCAGTTACTAATCTATCACTAACAATGACAAGGAACTCCCAAATTACTATGATTAACTGTCAAGTGGGCATTATGTTACTGAATTATCTATTAAAATGCTGGCAAAGCAATAACATCTTGATTAATACTTTCACTTATTTTAAGAAACTATAACATCTGGACAGAATGGGGTTGAAAGATCTGGTTTCTGGTTCTTTTCTGTGACCTTGAGTAGGTCTTTTTCCCCCAACCCCCACCTCACTTCCTTTCCAGGGTTCTTAGCCTGTAAATATGGATGGTAATATTAGCCCTACTTAACTCTATCCAAACTGTTGTAGAAATCAAATAAGATAAACAAGAAAGCTGTGAAAACTGTTAACTGTTTTGAGTACGATCAACATCCAAATAAAATAATTTTACAAGAAAATAACTAATTTGGGTAATTCCACTCTGGGTACAAATTCTAACTGACCAAAAGGTAAATATGACATTTCTAACAAGAATGATGCACAGAGTAAGGGTTTGCCATAATAAGGTGAGCTCTCCTCTCGTTCCATTATGCCAAATGCAGGTAACATTATTACTGAATGTGTCAAAATTTCCCCTAGGATGTTAAAACACAAAAGACCAGTACACCCACAGCCTGCAAACTTAGCATATAAACTTCAAATTAAAGTCTGAGACTTTATTTAGGCTCCATTTTTCAACCTCAGTGACCAGTTTCCCATGCTGCATAAATCTTCCTCACAATGAGAATTCCTCGGGAGGCAGCACCATATGAATAAAATACGAAGGGAATAAACAGAAACATACTCAAGACACGTAGGCGGACCGTGTCTGATCCACTCAAATAATTTCTTATTCATTCAACATTAGGTCCTTATTATCCAAATAACATCCATTTTGGGAAATTAAACCCTGAACAAGTTTTTCCATCTTATATGAGAGGAAAGAAAAACAGTCATAATGAAAGGCCATGGGGGCCAAGTTAAAAATTACAGATGGTGTTTTTCAAGTTCAGAAAGAACAGAGATCTCCTTTGGCCTCAGAAAACACTTATAGGCACCACCTATTCAAAATGAAAAGACCCCAACATAGCTGCCAATGGGAGAATGGATAAATTTGCACCGTGGAAATTTGTAGAGAAAAGGAATCAAATATATGTGTGTGTGTGTATATGTGTGTGTGTGTGTGTATACGGATATTTTATACACATACATATAAGTATACACACACACACACACACACACACATACACGGTGGGTTGAAGAAATATGGTAGGATGCAATCTATGTCAAGTTTAGAAAAGTGCAAAATAAAACACAAGGATACTAATGACAAATTTCACTGGCTTATATGTAGTGGTAGAAGGGGACCAGAAGGGCAGACTGCTATGAAGGAAACACAGGGGAGGTTTCACTACAGCATTGTAACATCCCCTAAAATAAGGTATTGGTGCAGCTAGTTGTTACACTGGTTTTAAACATTTCATAATACATAAATAATTTGTCTTACCCCATCCCTGCCAGCCACAAAGGAGCTAATAACAGCAGCAAATGATTGGTTGGACTATGATATAAAAAGCTGGAAGAAGATAGATGCTGAAGACGTTGGCAGTGCAGAGATTTTATATGTTCTTGAAAACTAAGCCACTGGGTGCACATGAAGAAACAAATGTATTTTTTTCCAGCTTTTCATTGTGAAATAGTTTTTAGACTTACAGAAAAGGGGCAAAAAATAGTAGCGGGTCCCTACGTATCATTCAGCTTTCCCTCATGCCAACATCTCAGTCATGCTACAATGACCTAGAGTGATAACAATGATACATACTTGAACTCGTAGTTGTAGTATCTGGTATGCACTAAACCACAGACTCCAGAGTTTTCCATTAGTGCTCCTCTTCTATTCTGGGATCTAATCCTGGATCCTGGTTAGCATGGAGTTGTCTTGGCTGCTCAGTCTCCTCTAACCTGTGGCAGTTCTCAGTCTTTTCTTATCTTGGCACTTCTGAAGAATTCGGGTCTGGTTATTTTGTAGAATATTTTGCAATTTAGGCTTGTCTGAGGTTTCCTCATGGTTCGGCCGAGTTCACGCATACTAGGGAAGAATACCACAGAAGGAATGTGCCCTTCAGGGGCTCCATGATGTTGATAGATCTTTTTACTGATGTTGACCTTAATCACTTGATTATGGTGGTGTCCACAGGGTTTTTCCACAGCACAGTTACAATTTTTCCTTTGATATCTTGTAGGAGATACTTTGAGTCGTGCAAATATCCTGTGGCTCCTCAAAGTTTGGTCCATCACTTTTCTGTACCCACCAGTAAGTCCCGCCTGCAACCATAATGATCCCGTAATGTTCTGATGGTGCATATTCTTTTGTGGTGCTGGGGATGGAACCCAGGGCCTTGCGTATGCTAGACAAGCACTCTACCACTGAGCCACATCCCCAGCCTGTGCACTTATTTTTAAGTAACATCACTGCATACCTTATTGATATATAATGACAATCTTCATTTACTTTTGCACTTGATAATGAAAGCTATGTAGCTTTATATTAAGTCTTTAGAAATAAAATTTTCCAAGAGTGGGTAGCCGTCCTAATGACCCCCACAGTGTGATTATAAATTATGGAATGGGAGATAAAGGAGGCCCAACTCTTGCCCTACTGTATTGTGAAGCTTTGGGTAAAGGCCTATGGCCCAACTGCGTAAGGGGTACTTTTGGACCTTACCAAACTGCAGTCCTGGGTAACACCCTCAATCTCTGGGGCCAAGAAGTTGCATTTTTAAATATTTCAGATGATTCTCAATACCCACTAAATCTGACAACTAATGGGCTTTCAGAACAATGAAAGAAGAATGTACTATTTAACTTGCCATTCATAGTGAAAAATAATCGGTGTTCCTGAAGAATGATGGCAAACATCACTTTCCATAATTAAATATAGCTATCATCTTTACAAAGTTGTTCCAAATTAGTGATTCTGCCAGCATTGTCTGCAAATCACTAGTGGACCCCAAACTGCTCCAAGAACTCTGGCTTCACACATTGCCTAGCAATGTTGCTACCCTGAATGGAGAGGAAGGAGAAGTATAATAATTTTCAGAAAGGTTGCTTTTGTTATCTCTGTTGTCTTGAGTTGGTAACAGGTGGTAATGCTGCTATGTTTTTTATTAATTACAGATTACTGTTCCTTTAAATTCATCATTGTAACTAAGTTTGTTATTTGGTTAACCCTACACTCTGTAGTAACATATAATTACACCAAGTGTATTTTATCGAATCATTTTAGAATAGCTGAATATGGTTCAAATAAGTAACATCCACATTCTCATTTCTAAATTAGTTACATGCGTATTCCCTTCAAACTTGGCTGATATATAAAGTCCTTTTATTGTATGGGTGGGGGTGAAATCCTGGTAAGATGTCTTTAAAAAGAGAGCCAAAAAGAACAGGTAGAGAAAGGTGTTCATGACCTTGCAAGATGGTCTTTCGATGAATGATTATTGCTTTGCATAAAGGCTTATCACTTC